AGGCCGTTCGAAGTTAATTTTTCGGTTAACATCACCCCCCCCCCCAGCTGAAGCCTCCCCCACCTCCCCTTCGAAAACGAACAGCCAATCAAAACGCTGGATGACTCTCTAATGGATTTTATCTTCCCAGTTACAATATATCTTTAACTTTCGTCCAGTATTTCTTTCTTTCTTTCTTTTTTTACTGTTGTTGGACAACTACATATTATCAAGCAAAATGAAGGCTTTCCATTTAATTGGCATCATTATAATGTTAATAGTAACATATAAATACACTCCTTTATCTTTTCTTTATGAATGGATTGCATTTACTTGCTATCAGCATATATCTTTGTATTTTTACTGTTTATTGTTTGCATTAGCCTTAATTCCTTATACCTTTTTTGAGCTTTTAATTCTTTATCCTAAACCAATGTATTCTATATTGTTGTATTATAGGAAAAATATCATTTCCTTTTTTAAATTTTTATGTGCCCATCTTTTAATCGCAGGAATGTTATATTATAAAATCGCTTATATTATTACATTTCTGTGCCTAGTTTTATGTGCTAAATTGATTAATCGTCCTATTATCCAGTTAGCTGTTTGTTCGTGTCTAATTTCATTGGCAATTTCATTGGCAGTTAGTCATATAAATTATTTAACCGATTTAGAATTTCTTTATAAATGGGTATTTTCTTCAATTCATGAAGAAGTTGCTAGAGAATTATTTATCGGTATCATTTATCTTATATTCTTCAAACATACGCTAAAATTTTATTTTAAGGCCTTCTTAATTTTGATATTTTCGACATGCATAATTCTAAAATTTATTGATTTATCGACCATTTACAAATACTTCCTATTTCCTGCTTTTTCAAGGTTCTTAAAATATTTTTTTATCGGTTGTGTTAAGGGAATCATATATCATGAGATGAAAGAAAAACAAATGATAAAACAATATTTGGATCATTTAAACCAGGAAAGTTATCCTACTATTGATTATTCTGATCCTTACAGCATAAAATCCGCTATGGAGGTACCCTTTTCAGTAATTTTAATTATTATATGGGGAATGCGGCGTCATTGGTCAACCTTCACGTGTATGCTATTCGAAAAATTGGAAAATGAGACTTGGTTTTCGGGAGAACATTGGGAACAAGTTGTTGATAATGCATTATTGAGCATACGTTATGAGGAACAAGAGCACTATTTCAAAAATACCATGTTCTATCTAAGAAATCCACGCTACCCAGACTTTTTTTATCCAAACCATTGTGAATTTAAAGATTCTTTTGCTGCGCAACGAAATTTACCAGAAAATCATAATGACGGATATTCGGATTTTCTTGATAAATATTATTTGGATTTCATGAAAGAGCCTTTGCTGAGTGAAACCTCGTATAAAGGAGTTCGAATGCCAATGTATGGAAAATGTAAAATATGTAAACGACTCAATACATCTCAAACCTGGTGTCAAACATGTGATCCTATATTAGAAACTCAAGGATGGTCAAGTTATAATAAAGATGTTGACAACCTCATCAAAGGATTTCAATTAAAAACAACTAATTATAAAGATGTTATTGAATGGATTCCATTTGATAGGCTAAGTAATATAGAAAAGATTGGCAAAGGAGGTTTTGGTGAAGTGTTTTCAGCAATTTGGTTAGATGGCATACGAAAAATTGACAGTCGAAGTGATAATTTAATCAACAACTTAAAAAATATTTTTACTGGTAACTTACTTGTAAGAGCACGTAAAGAATCATGTGAGGTTGCACTCAAATCATTACCTAGTGGTTCTAATACTTTGAACTGTTTAGAGGAATTTAAAAATCATATGGAATGTAGATTGAATGGCATCGGACTTAAGGTGTATGGATTGACCCAAAATCCCTATACAAATCAATATTTTAT